CCCCCCCCCCCCCCCCGCATCTACCCCATTCATGTGACCATGGTGCAACCCACGATGCTTATGTGTACTTTTATTTTAAATAGGAATAAAATTCGAATCGATTTTTATCAATATCGTTGACGTTGCAGTTTGATCGAATATTTATGTAAAGATACATCATCTGACATGGTTTTCTATTCTTTGTTCTCATCAGCATATGTTCTTCTATTTTTTATTCTTGCAATGATTGTGATACTCCAAGTTAGACGTAAGATTATATAATTTCAAAATATTATAGAGTTGCTTAAAATCTTTTGATAACATGTGTTCCGGAGATGAAAGTCAACTAGAATCGATTTTACTGTCCGGTTAGCGCGTAAGTTCTGCACGTTTTCTTTTGGTGCAACAATAAATTTATTTTTCAACAAAAATATCGTCAATCAGTAATATAATCGCAATTGTTTTCAACAACATTCGCCCATCTTGTTGGCAATAGTTGAATTCAACGTCTGTAGAAACTAGCCGATTTTGATTCGAAAAAGGGAGTCAGGTCGGATCTTAGCTCATCGAAGTTTTCATAGTGTTTATTGTACAAATAGTTACGAAGATATAGGAACAGATGATAATCGGTTGGTGAGAAGTCTGATGACCGCGGCGGATGTGGAAGAACTTCCCATCCTAATTACGTAGTAAGCAGGTAAGATCAAGGCCAATATCGATGTTTGTTTGACCTTGAGAAAACAGAAATAAATGTATGGTAGCGAGATGAAAGAAAACAGAAGAACGAAAGAAATACATATATAACGAAAAGAAAATATCTTTGTGGAAAAATAAATTTGTTTTTGGACCAAAAAACAAAAACGTGCAGAACTTATGTGCCAACCGGGTACTCTCCAAAATATTTCGTTTATTTGTGTTGGATTCAAGTTAGGTGATACTTCCGATGAGAATAATTTTTTTAAACAATATTACTCCATTTAGTCATTATTTGAGTCGATATGTTGAATGCGTCGAGACTTATACTGATCTCTTCCATGTTATCAATGCAGAAAATGAGAGATAATATTGTTTAGAAAATGTTTTTCGTATAGAAATGTTTATAGGAAAAGTGAACAATAAATAGTTTCGAATCTTTCCTGTGTATCTATCCAAATTACAGATCGGAATGAATTGAAAAAATCAAAACAAGAAGAAATCAATAAGGAAATTTTCTTGATTTCTTGGTCGTATTTTCTTATATCTATTCAAGTGGCTCTTTGATACGAGACGCAAACTTTCATTATCGATTTGTTTAGAAAATATTTCTATGTACTAATCAGTTACAGACGGAACATTATAGGAAATTTTCGTATTGTTTTTAATATTTTTCTAAATTAAATTCAAATATTTGGCCATGTTTACATCCATTGGCTTATATTAACAGAAATGAAAACATCTATTACTTCTTTCTTTATACTATAAATCATAGCGAGTATTAAGCAGATTAATATTTTCTCAGATATACTTAAAAGGAGTGATTCGTCGTACTATTTCAAATCAAATCGTTGTTTGTTTTAATCCTTGACTTTTTTACTTCATAAAATAATCAATCAATGGGTATCTATTGTTGTGTCAATATTGAAAAACGTGCTCTACTGTGTGTCTACGAACCAAATCTTAAGATAATGGTACGGATAAACAATATTGATTTAAAATCAAAAGACAAATGAGATATTTGTAAAAGGAAGTTTTCTTGATCTTCACTATAAGAAATGTTGACTAAAGATCATATATCAACAACCTATGTTTTTTGCATTAATTATATGAATTAATTTCTTTTCCGAAGGATTAAGTACAGCAGCGGCTAAGAAATTAGTCCCAAAATAGAAAAGACAAAACAATTGCTGTGTGATCGGTAGCAGCAGCTAGACATCGTGTTTCGCAATTTAATCCTACAGTGATTAAACTAACGGCTGATGTTTTTAAATAATATAATCGTATGCTTTGTGTCTAGATAAACACACTGGACTGCTCTTTGTTGATATTGAAAGTCGGATGATCCATAGTTATAAAATAAAACATTCAGCGTGAGCGTGACGCATAGACGCAGGACAGTAAAATTTGAGCTTTTAACTCCGTGGATTTTTGTTTGGTATAACTTGATAACAAACATGTGAAAAGAAAAGGATTATATCAAAAAAATCAACTATCACTCTTAATCTTTAAAAACGAAAGCAAATTTTAGTGAAGATAAGAAAAGAACAATCACTAAAATATAAGTTGTGACATAAATAATAATTATTTTTTCCTTTGGAGATATAGAATATTCCTTGAACAGGAGATTCGGTTTTAACCGTCCAAATTTTTCACGATTTTGAATATATGTGAGAAAAATATTTTTGTGTGAAAGGCTTTACTTCTTTTCTTTTTCACATGAAGAGCTAATTTAAGCGATTTTTTGTACTTTTTCAATATTTGCATACTTTCTATTTAAAACATATGCGTGTTCGACACTATATATATGCTGTTAGGATACTTTCAAGGGTTAACTAAGATAATTTAGCTCGGCTAGATACTTTATCATGTCAAAGGCACTAACTGCAAACTATCGTCGAGATACCGTTCTAATGAAACTAATAGGAAAGGTCTAAATAATTAAATAAATTGTAAGTAAGAAGCCTCTCGGTAGCGTATTTTATTTATAAAAAGACATCGATCATTACGCTTGAAAAAATATGTAGAAATTTCGAAAAATATTCAATTGGCAATAGTCGAAAGTACTTTCGTTATGATATTATACATAGTGACAATTACACGTTTCCGGACTCTTCTTGAATAAAAATATAGGTTTTATAAGAATGATCGGTTTCATTCGTCCAGATACATACAATAGATATTAACAACGGATGTATCATTGTGACACAGTTAAATATCATTAAAATGACGGTACTTCTATTTATTAATTTTACAACAATTATACAGCGATTATTGAATATTTGATATAAATTAAAAATATACTCTTGAACAGAGAAGAAGTCATTCCTTTCAATTAATACCTCATTTAATTTGTTATAAACTTTGCTTTCGTTAAACGCGATTCGAGATTTCAATTGGTTTAAAAGAAAAACACAAACCGATGGAATATTCAGAATAGACGTCTAAGACAGTTCGTACTATAAATTTCCGTGCGTAATGTCCGTTTTTATTCTTTGTAAAAATTTCTATTTAAATAATTAATCAAAGAGTTGTATATTTAATCTTGTTTATGGGCCACTATCAGATATCTATCCGTCGCAAGCATTAGCTTTTAATCTTGATTCGACAAACCGTTCAATTTTTGTTATAAATTTTCATATTTCGACTCAATCAGTGAGTTTCAACGGAGAGAAAGATATTTTTTTATTTGCAATATGAGAAAAGTTATAATTATAAATATCTTCTACAAAAAATATCTTCAACGAAGATGTTGCTACGTCGTGCCTTCCTTCCGTAGGCAATGAGTATGAAACAACGTAATGTTTTCTTAGTTACCAATCCTTTATGCAGTTCATATTTATGAACAATGAGTCAGTAGTGAATCATTTTCTTTATATCAATGACAACGCAAATACAAAAGAACACGGCTGATTGCCAAAAAAGTTGTTTTTGATTGTACTATCAGTACGAGCTATTCTATTTTTTTCACACAAAGCAAGATTTCATTTTATGTATCCAACAGCCTCGTTTACACGATCAACAGATCATCGATGCCATACATTGTTCAAAGCAGAGACGTATTTCGAAACAATTCAATGATTTAAGAATCTTATACATCAATAATTATCGCACTTGAAAAAATGAATTAGTTTTTCCTATTCAAATCGATGCAATGGACTTTATCCTAAACTTTTATTTTCATCTGGATTGATGGCAGAAAAGATATTAAATTTGTTTTCGTAAATACGCCAATTATTAAATTCACATTTGATTCTCTTATCGGCTTGCTTGTTTCCTAAACGACAGTTCTTATTACCTCCCATGATGCATTCGCACGCATTGAGAGAAATTACATAAAGAAAGAAATAAAAGACAACACTGCTCGGCATTTTGAAGAAATAAGAAGAAAGCAAAAAAACGTGGCGATTACCTCCACAGCTTCTATGTCAAGCTCGGCTCTTGACAATGAATATTTATAAGAGCCTGATATTCGCTCGTTATTGCTGCCTTTAAATAATCTAATTGAGAAAAACCTAGCAAATGGAAAAAGAGCAATTTTATCGAGGTCGATTTGATGAAGTCGGAGATCGTAAATTAAACTCCGTACGTGTTTTTGTTAGCTCAACATTTTCCGGTAAGTTGCTATGAAACCAGAGCTCGTTGCCATTTGCCATGATTAAAATTATTTATTCTTAGATACGACTGATGAACGTAATGGACTTATTGAACGTGTATATCCTCAATTGCGCAAGTACTGTCTCAATAAATACAAAATACAATTTCAAGTAATGCGGTCGTGTTTTTATTCAATGAATTGGTTTTAATTCTCACGCGAACTTGTGAAGAGACATAGAAAACCCTTTGAATTCTGATAATTGAACATAAAGTCAGATTCACATACAAAATCATCTAGTAGATACACGCATATAAACAATCGATACAGCGACTGCAAGCGAAATAATGAATCGGTTCTCGAAAATGTTCTTAATTTTAGCAGCGTATGCATGCTTTTGTAAAAAGACTTTTTGAAAGTCATCGAATTCATAGAGTCGAAAATTGTTAAGCCATTGGTAATGTTTTTAGATGCTAGATTAGATTCCAACAAAAAAATAAGATTCTTATTGAGCGACTTATTCGAAGATTCAAAAACACAAGAATATTTTGGAATTTCATTCAAACTACCCATCAAGATGTCCCAGTTCTGATAAGAGGCTAAAAGAAAGCGTTTTCTATACCAAAGTAAGAAAGAAATCTACCGTAAGAATATCTAACTCACATTGATAGCCCCGGTTCGTGTTCTCTCTGTTCTCAACTAAACAAAAACGCATCTTAACCACTGTTAAATGTTTTGTTTATTCCTTTTTTGCTAGTATTCGGATATGCGCTGGGGTATTCAATCAGCAGCATCAACTACGCATTCAACAGTCGACATCTGCCTTCAAGAACTTGATAGCTGTAGTCAATTGTCCATGGCTACCAATTGTGTTGTAAAACTCATTCAAATTATCCTAATTTCTAAATCAGTTTTTTTTGTTCAAAAAGATCCTGTTAAGTCACCGATATGGTAGCCGTCTGGTTCCAGCTTACATATCCTATCGTGTATTTCAATTACTTGAAAATAGCCTATCAACAGATATTGAAGCACAAACTTTCCTGTCTCAAATGTATGAATTAGATGAAAATTATATTGAAAAGAAAGTATTTCTTAAACAAATTGGCGACAGTCAAGAATGGATACCACTAGAAAATAAATTACAATTAATTTTACGACAAGCAGCAGATATTTGCTACCAACAGGAAACAATAACCACCGAAGAACGAAATGAATTTCATATGTCAGGTATTTAAGACTCGCTCGGATAAGCCAACAGAAAATCATGTAAAATTTATGCATCTTGATTTTAGTTACAGCAAAAGAAATTTATCGTGCGTTAAAAAATAACAAAAATAGGCCACGACGAATAGTTTGTTTTTTACGTGAAATAATCGATATAGAAGAACTTGATTCAAAATATCGTGAAACAGAAAATAAAGATGAAATAAAAATGTTATTGGATGAAACGAAAAATTCACTGCGTCAATCACTTGATTCATCGGATATTTATACATATCAAGTAGGATCTCATTTTCTAGTGATATGCAACAATTTCTATTTCATTAATCATTAGGTTCGTTGGAACGATGAAACTGCTCGGAAAAAATATTTTTCTCAATTTTTTGATGATTTTTATCAAGCAATTAAATTACAAGTTGATTTTCATATGAAGAACCAAGAAAATCAACAAAAAGATATTCTCTATAATCAAATATTAGAGCATGCAATTCAATCTAATTTATTAACGCAACGATATTTTCCACGGCAAGATATTCTCGAACAAGTAAAATACTTCTCGAAATTTAAAAAAAATGGATTCGTTTTTAATTTCTTTTTTTCCAAGATTAAAAATTATATGAAGTCAACAAGCAATCGTCCATGTGTTTTACTAGGAGAATCAGGAACTGGGAAATCATCAATCATGGCTACACTTGTTAGCGAAGTAAGAACTCAGCTAGTAATTACTTACAGCCAAATAGATGCTATATGATGAACGATCGATTCACTGATACGATATAAATATTTCTCAGGATAGTCGAAGCATATTTGTGTAGGAAGTTTGACAAATATTCTAAAAATTGAATAACTACATAGAAAACTACTGAGCGAGTATAGATGCTGTTTGCTTTATAGCAGCCAGCATACTAAAACAATATAGACTATTCAAACCTTGCTGTCAGAGATATTGTCCATTACTGTGCTGCTTCCTCGATTTATTCACTCTGATATTTAAGAAAAAATAGATTTTGAAATCGTTAAGCTGATTTTACTCTTATAGATCTAAGTTATTGATAGTGAAAGAAGCCCGGAAAAAAATTAAATCTCAAAATTATGCTTTTCCTTGTGAGAGATTAAATACTGAATAACAGATGACACGCTGTCGTTTTTGACTACGCACTAGCACACGAAGAACAGATTCTTTCAAGTTGAATATTATCCGACAAGGATACTAGAGAACTTTGTTTCACTGTTATATATGAAATGATTCTAAGAAACAAAAATTTTAGATCCCAAATTGGTATCGACAAACGAATGCTTTGTCCGTTATTATCCGTTTTCTGGGCGCAACACCGTCTTCCAGCGATATTCGTCGTCCATTGATATCAATTATTGAACAAATTTGTCACATTTATCATTTTGATATACCATCAAATTTAGATAATGTAAAAGAATCGCTTGAAAATATTTTCATGCATATTCCGAAAACTGAAATTCTCGTTGTTCTTCTGGATTCCATTGATCAACTTCAAATAGCTGATTTGAAAAATTTATCAACATGGTTACCAACGAAATTCCCATCGACTAATTTTAAATTTATAATATCTACCATTCCAGATATTGAAATTGATCGAGTAACAGTTAATATTCATGAAAAATTAAGAACTATCTATGATAATGACATCATCGAAATCGAAATCGATTCTTTGAATGAAAACCTTGCTGAACAAGTTCTAGATTATTGGCTTGAACAAGATCATCGTTGCTTGACAATGATACAACGTGAATGGATTACAGAGAAATTTCGTAAACAACAGCATTTTTTAACACCATTATTGGTTGCGCTTCTATACGATCAGACGTTGTCATGGCATTCATATGATACAACGCCCGATCCGGCGTTTTTAGCTATAAAACAAACTCGTGGTGCTATTGAATATCTATTTAATCAATTAGGTGTCAAACATGGTCAAACGTTATTTCAACGTTCAATGAGCTATCTTCAATTATCAGGCGGATTAAGTGAACTTGAATTAGAAGATATTCTTACGTTAGATGATGAAATTTTAAAATCAGTTTTTGTTCATTATCTACCACCATTTGACTTATTTCGATTACCGTCGACGTTATGGATTCGCATTAAAAATGATATGCATAAATATTTAGTAGAAAAAGACATCGACAATATTCCTTGTATTTATTTGTAAGTAGACTAGAGATATGTGAAACTAGGATAACTGTGATGGGTATTGATCATTTACTTTTATTCATAATTTAGAACGTATTATCGTATTGAATAATAATCGTGTACTTGCTCCTCCAGTTTTTGAATAGTGATCAATGAGAGAAGTTCTAAGCTTGCTCCTCATTCACACCGAAAGGAACGTAGGTAGGTAATGCTTGCATGAATATTGAAGATCCATGAGACTTGTTCATGCACATAGCTGATTTGTTTTTAAAAACGAATCAGCGATCATTTTGTTCTTCATTGTGATAATTAGTGTTGTTTACGAGTATTCATATGCAAAAATGAGGGATAAGAATTATTTGAAGTTCCTCGTGAACCTAAACTGGAGTTATTAACTAAAATTACAATTACGAATACAATCTTTAGAAATTCACCGTACCAGAAGAGTATTACATATTATCCTGATCGGAATGATACATCTCCAGTGTTATTTTCTATTATTGTTAATCTATTACATAGATCAATAAGTTTCTTTTATAGTGAATGATTAATTCGAACTATCACGAGTGTTAAAGATTTGTTCGTTTTAGCTCTAGCTATATAATTTTTTGCATTTAGTTATCATCGCAGTTTTCAATATTACCAAACAATGGACTTTAAAAAATTGAGACTTGAACATCAAACAAAAGAACTACTGGAGAAAAATCGTCTATTCTATTTTGCTAATCAATATAAGGAAACATTTGATATGAGCTATTCACCGAAATTGGCTAATAAATATAGATTATCAACAATGATCATATCTGCCAATCGACGTCTAACTGAACAAAAGCCTTTCAAGCAAAAGAAAACAAATCAATATAATCTTCGTCGTCTACATCAATTGTATATCAATCTCAATCGTTATGATTTTGTTCACGAATGGACTGTGTTCAATTATGATTTTTTATCTGCATTTCTCCTTTGTGGCGAATATAAAATGTCTAATTTCCTGTTTGAAATGTCAATTGGTGCTCATGATCCAAACGGTGAATTACGATTTCTTTTAAAACAATTTGAAGCATCAACAGAAACTCTAGACCAACATCCACATAATTTATCATTTGAATTAGTTTATCGTTTTTTTCCATTTCTAAATGAATTACCAACGTTAACATATAATTTAATTGATCGATGCTTAAGTCACTGCCCACTTCAATTAATTACAAATAAAGAACGACCAGAATCTTTAGCAAAATGTTCATTAACAAACATTATTTCTATTACCATCGATGCACATTATATATTTGCTTTAACTAACAATGATAAATTCTATGTATTTGTTTATAGTTATCTTGGTTTATTAATGGCACACGAGTTTGATGTAATATATAAGAAAAAAGAACCAAATGAGCGAATATTATCATATTTGTGTCGATTTCCCTATGTTTGCTTTCTTACATCAAATTCATCAATGGTAGTGGGACATTGTTCGAAAAAAGAAGTGTCTATGCAACTGCCATGCAAGCAATTAATCTCCTTTATCAACGATCGAATGGTTCTAGTTGTTTCATCAGCAGCGAATTCATTAGAATTATGGGATTGTTCAAATAATATTCTCGTATCAAAACACAATTTTAACGATGAGAAGATTATCGAAAATTGTATTTTGAAAAATTCTATGATTAAAGTAGTTTTAAAAGGAAATTCAACGATTTCTTATATAGAATTAGATGGAAATTTTCAATTTAATCCAATTCGAATTTCTAATGAAAATATTAATAATCATAATCGCCATATACTTCTTGATACTCATTGTGAATTTTATTATTCATTAAACAGTTCACTAGCGACATTAGTTATTTATGATAAGACAAATCATAATTCAAAAAAAGTTATCAACGACATTGATTTTATTTCTCCACCGAAATCTGTTATTTACTTGTCAAAAAGCAATTCTATTGCATGGTTAACATCAACAACTCTTATGATATTTCATCCGTTATACGAACAAAATATTTTTCAACCATTTTATATTACATCATCAACGATTCCAATTGACTATGATCTAGTTCATGATCATTGTTCATCGCCGGAATTCGACGATCTCCGGAGTTGTTTAGCTTGTGTTAATAAATCAAACAGTATTATTGATATTTATGAATGGCAATATGATAAAGACAAACGAATTCATATTTATCGACAATGTACTCGTCTTCAACTTGACATATCAATCGATCAATTCGTATTTACAGCATGTAATTTATAGACCAGATAGTTTTGGAGCTCACTATTTTTGACATTATCCATAACGTTAATTATTAGAGAGCAGTAGAGATAAACTTTGATTAGTCCTCGAGATACGACAATTCTCATAACTACAGTTGTAGTAAAGAAATAAAAAATTCGAGTATTGAAGAAATGAGAGACGATGACATTCTGAAACACTTTTCTCTACAAAGAAACAGACAATAGAATAGCTAGAATTAATAGGATAGGGACCTAGTCAATTGGTCCTATGCGTAAACAACAGTGAACTCATATTAATTGTGATAAAAACAACAAAACATCACCCTCTTATATTACATAGGCACCTTGTTTTGATTACAAAGAGGCACTAACTTTTACATATCATAAAATAATTTTCTTTTTATTTCATAAAAGATTGGTTCGATGGTATTACTCTCTACTGTTCGGATGGTAATAATATTTATAAATATAATGCAACCATGTTAACTTATCTAACCTCATCAAAGCCTTTCCATCCATCTCACGCGATTGATCAAATACCAAGTCTACATTCCGATCAATTCTTAGCAATGAAAAACAAGGATAAGTACGCAAAATAACAAGTTTTGTTTTATTCCTTTTAATTCAAAATACTTTTTCTAGTTCATTGGAAATCTATACATTGGATGAAAATGATTCTCTTGACCTAAAATGTTCAATTCACTCAATTGTTGATTATTATTTTACCACATCCCCATCATTATCATCATCCGCACATGTTTTATGTGTTGATGAAAAGAATATTTTATCAATATACTCTTTAAACTCATCAAAATTATTGTGGACAACAAAATCATTTGAAAATAAAAAACTTCAGATTCATTCTAATCAATCGTCGTTTATTCTTATTTGTTTACAAACGAAACAAATTTATCAAATAGATACTACTCAATCATTTGATTTAAAAATTCTTGTTCAATTGAATATAGATTGTCATTTAAGTACACTTTCATCTAATAATCTATTATATATAATATCAAATGATCAACAAACTCTGATCGAATTCAATGTAAATAATCAAAACATGAAGAGTCTATCACCTGTTCAATTGCAATCCACGAAAATTATTCAATTATATTCTGTATCCGATCATCTGATCTTTCGTGCTGATGATAATCAAGTTTATCTTTGGTGGAACGAAAAGGTACCTATATCGAAATTAGAAAAAGCGTCTCGTTTAATGTTAAAACATCGACTTGTTCTTGTATGCACAGATAATAAAGTATTGGTATTATACGACTTGAAAGCAAACTTACGTGGAACAATTCAATTAACGGACGACGCCGGTCAATGTGAAGCAATTAGTTTAAGTGATTATAGTAACGAAGGCGATCAATATCTTTTTATTATTTGTTCTGATCGACTTTTACGAATGTATAACGTTTCGAATGGTAAACAATTAGCAAAATTGTTCATTAATAAAGATTTATATCCATTTATTGGAATATTAAATAATCGCCTATTACTCAAAGTTACGAATCAATTATGTATAATTAAAATTATCGATAAGAAAAATTTACCAAACAGGTAAAATATTTTTAAAATAAAAAAAAAACTCGTATTTTTGTTTTTATAACACATATTCTAGATCATCGAATGTCAAGTGTACTCTCTTCAAAGAATCTATGTGGATGACTTGTCATCATGACAATTGTGCTTGGTCGAATACGGTCGAATCATAAAGTTGTCTTATTTTAATGAAAAATTTCCGTGAATAAATTCATCGCGTATTTTTATTTTATCTTCTATATGATTGTATTCACTGTGTTTTTTTTACTTTTTTTAAGTTCATAGTGAGGGCAGAATTTCTTATAGAAAACATGAAACGAAATGTAATAAGATAATAGTTGTCTAGTGTTTCGGTTGAATGATTCAACCCTATTGCGCCGTCTCTGTCTCTCTCTCTCTCTCTTTCTCTTATTCTTGTGAGTAGACTAAGCAAAACATAGAAAAAGAAGTGAAAGAAGTAAACATTTGAATCAATCAAGTATGAAAAACATCACCGTGTTGTAGGTTTACTGACGTGAAGGCCACCTCTAATTATCATATGAAGAGTGTCACTCATCGATTGCATACAGACGATGAGTGATGTTAATTTTCAAATTATTAATTCAGAAAATGTCGATAAAAATATTTTCAAATTATCTGATGTTGATATTCGAAATCTTAAATATTACGCCAAACGACAAAATAATTCTCCATTAATCAATATAGAGAATGTAGAACAAGATGATCAAGGAAAAACATCGATCGATTTTTATTTAAATAAAATATTCACAAAAGATTCACTGCCATTGAATGATACCTATCAAAATCATCATCGATATTATCACTACCACCACCATCATCATCATAATCGTCATTGTCCATATACAAAACATACTCATGAACAACCGATAATGTCGTCATCCTTAGATGACCATAAAAAATTGTCTCTTGAAATAGCTACATGTGGTATGGAAAAGAATACAAAATTACCAGTACCCTATGAGAACTTTTCTTTAAATAATGGCTGTTTTGGTGATGATGCTGGATTTGTATTGCAACAAGCAACTAAAAATTTCTTAGGTAGTTTTAATCGTCAAGAAAATTAAAATACGGATTTCATTATTAGGCATTTCCGATGGTGCCGGTGGTAATTTAATGTATGGCTATAATCCTCGTCTTTTCTCTGAATCATTAATGCGTAATTGCTCAGATTTAGCTCATACAGGAAACTATTCGACAACTGAGCCTAAACACCTCTTGTGTCATGCATTTGATCGTGTTCAAACTGAAAATTGTTTCGGTATGATTTTAATTTTCTCTCTCTCTCTCTCTGTTTCTCAATTGTTATTTGTTTTAAAATTTATTTATAAAACAAAACAAAAAGGTAGTGCAACAGCATGTGTGATTGGTATAGATTGTGGTACAGGCCGACTATATTCAGTGAATATTGGTGATTCAGGTTATGTCGTTGTACGTCAAGGTTTTGTTGTTTATCGATCGCGATCGCAGGAGATGAATGGTGATTGTCCAAGACAATTGGATGTTTATCCCTGGACTGCATCATTGCAAAGACAAGGTCTTAACTATACACAAATATCGTATGTTTTTCAAAACTAACTTATTGAGAAGAGAAAAACTAATTAATTTTCGGCCTTGCTTTGGTATTATCATAAACAAATAATATTTATCTATTTACATATTGGTTTGATAGAGATAGTTAAAAACAATTATTTTGACAGTAATCAATAAATCAAGGTTTAAGATTTGTTTTCTTAAATTTAGAATTTTCGATGCGATATGTGAATCATTCGATTTGGAATTAGATGATATAATTATTTTATCTACTGATGGTCTCTTCGATAATGTTCCTAATCATCTCATCGAACAAATTCTGTCTCGAGTAAATATTCATTTAGTCCTCTAAAGGGGGTCATATTACTGTGTTATTATTATTCTAGAATCGTTCTTTGAAACATGCTGCAAATCAATTAGTCACTCGAGCTATACGATTTTATGTTAAACCAGATGATATTCTTGTTATCATGGCACGAGTGATAGCAATCAATCACTCTACATATGAACAATGATAGCGGTTATTGAATTGTAGAACTTAGCATATAGAAACAATAAATAGGCATTTATAATCAAATAAAATAGATAATCTTTTTCATCGTTGTTCATGAATTGAATTGTAAATATTTCAATGAATTCTTTGTTTCTTATCGAAAAATCATGAGAACATAAAACACTATTCGATGCTGGAAAAGAATTCATTCTCTTTACACAGCAAGTTAACCATTAACCTAAATGCCCCTGGACTGTGATGAACATAGGAAAAAATTTGTACAGTTGTATACAAAAGATGCAGATGACAACGACGCTGAGTGTTTAACTAATTTTTGTCGCTGCACTTCTATTGACTCTCGCCATCGAACTAAATATGTGTTTCTGAAAAGCTGCAACACGATAATGATTAATGTAATAATCACCACAAAAACTATATTGTATTGTTTTGAATGAGTCAGTGTGAATTATTTCGGCACCTATATTTTTACTAAAATCAAATATGAAGCGAATTTTCAGTCGTCAGGCACGATTACCTGCTGTTCTTGATGATATTGAAGGGTCTCTCTAGTTGAAAAACTTCGATTTCATTCTAGAAAATTTTTTATGTTGAGGTACGCGTAATTGGAGAATTTTCAATAAGTGTCTAAGCATTTTGAAATCAACCCAGCAGAATTTGTCGATATTTAAAGAGTGCAAATGTGCTGGAAACATACAGTGTCAAATCTTAAACTGTTACGAATTTTAGAATAAGCGTGTCAAAATTTTCTCAATTTCAAATTCTCAGCAGATAACAGATATCAGATATTTATCTACCGTCTCTATTGAAACTAACCACAAGATTAGAATCAAGTATCTGCTGTCGTCTCGAATGCAAACGATTGCAGCATCCAACGTCAAACATCTAACATTTTCTCTTCGCTTAATATAATAGATTCTAATAAAACTATAACACCACTTCAATTATGAATACTTGAAATTTGTTTTTGCTAACCCCTTGTTTGATTTAGATTAATAGAAAAAACGATTTTCTTTTTCAAAAACACAATAAAGATTACAATTATGAATTTTTTTCACTATTTTTTAACAGGCCCTTTACTCAGATTAAATCCTTAGAACGTGATTCGGAGTCCTAAGTACTCACAGAACACTTCAGGTAGCTGTGGAATGATTAGATAATCATAAAATATTTCTAATAACTGTACTCACCAAAATACAGGAGATCTTTACTAAAAAGTACCTCTTTTGAAAATGACCCGGTAAAACTACTACAGTAAAAAATTCCATAGTGGACACTTCCGTACAGTGGGCGGTTTTGTCCAGTCCCGTGTTGTCATTTTGGCTAGAATTGAACCTCTCTCTATAGTGAACACCCTTCTTTAGAGTTTTGTCAGAGTGTTACTGACCGTTGGCTAGCCACCAACGCTGCTGAATTACTTTAGATCGATTGTTACATTTCTGTTTGGTGGAACTCGTATATATTTTCGAAGAAAATAGTGAGAATAAGTTGATGTGTAAGGTTTTTGCGGCTCTCCTGTACCCCTCCCCATTACAGACATAGAACATGAAACAAGTAACACTTTAGGTGCACTAATTAGATAAAATTTTGGTACAGATTAATTACTTGTGTTCACTACTACTCATATCAGTAATTAAAATCTAGTTTCACCAAGGGGGGAGTGCAGGCTTGGAACCCCCAGCACCTCAGCACCTTTTCTATAGTGAGATTTACTTCAGTCGTATGGAAAGGAATCGGGAAAACTACCTTCATTTTCAATAGTAGAGGTGATTTTGTTTTTGAATTATTCACAGAATCTGAATGAGAATTATTTCAGAATAAAAAACCAACAGAGAAAGAAAAACATCCTTCGAAAGTAACCGTATATCAAATTCCAAAATGATTTATCAAAAAGTTTGATCCTTCTCTTATTAGTGTGAGAACTAATAATGAGCTCTGACTATTTTTCAGAAATTTATTTTTCATTTTATTACCATTGCATTTGTAGAGCTTCTCCTTTCTCTGAGTTATCAAAAACAGCATTGCACGAAATCCCATACTCCTTGGTAAAAAGAAACCTGCACATAATTTTATTAGCTTGAAAATCATCATTGAATTTGGATTATTTTCCACAATTTTGTTGTATATTTTATAGAAAGTCAATTTTTAACACCTGGACTCCCTGCGACGACAGCAACGTCACTGATCTTGTCTTGATGTTTGTTGTATCATGTATGTTGTTTCTCCTCTGTATTGTTCTCTCTTATTGGTTATTGTCGTGCTTGTTATTTTCAACATTGGCACCTTTATTTCATTTTTCGCGCTTAGACTCAGAGAAATGAGATATAATTACACTCTTTTTCTCCTCAAGTTTCTTAGAAGCTTCTTGATATCTCTCTCTTCACTGAGATATACTAATTCTTCTTTTTCTTCTCTGACTACTAATTTTCTTCTCTATCAAAAAGAATCATCTTTTTGATCAATTACATACTACCTTTTTCTTTTCAACTTGATTGTTCTTTACAATCAATCTAACTCGATTGTTCCTTACAATCGTTC